AAAATTTTCATTTTTTTTCTGAAAAGGTGGTGTTTATTTACATGTGACCACGCTGTGTATATATATATGTGTGTGTGTGTGTATTGTTTGTATTCAGTTGTATAAACTTGAACGTTATAAGCATTTATATAGAGTTTCGTATAATGGATAAAGTCCAAAGAGTAAAGGTAGTTTATAGAAATGAAATCAGCTTTATTGTCATTTACTTTGCGTTGAGAGAACTGTGAATGCGTTATTATTTACTGTCAGATTGTTAAAATTACTTCCTGCATTTCTGCCCTGCTTGTCACGCATGCCTACGTAGAACAGCAACTGAGTGAGTACCGGTGACCGCCGAGTAAGTTACATATTTAGCCAGTTGGCACAAAGTTCTCAGCCTTCAGTAACTAGGAAAGACGTCGAGTTAAATGTTAGTTTCGCTATACACGACCTTGAGCTATAGGGGACAAGGCGGCGCAATCAAAATGCCTCAGCCACGGTCCCTGTCCTTCCCAAACTCAAACATAGGGTGTAATTATATTTCGTCTTATTTGTCCCATAGATACAGACTGGGATTTTGCAATGACCTTAAACACAGTTGATATTGCAGGGGTAACGAAATATGCAAATGATGTTTGTACGTTCAGTTAGTGAATGATATACGATACAAGTTTTATAAGATACGTGAATTATTATTTTTTAGGAGCCTTGTCTCTCCCAAGATGGCCAGGGAAATTAGAAGGAAGAAGCCGGTCAAATAGTCAGTCTGAAGAGCAAACGAGACCTCCATCAAAATCGACAGAACACAGTCTTTTAACTACTTGTGTTGGAAGTGTTTCAGAATTGGGTAATTGTTAATTAGGGTGTTCATTTAGGAAATTTCATTTTTATTTATGTATGTACTATAATGACAATTCAAGGGCAGGGCTGACGAGAGGAAGGGGGGGGGCAGCTGTGGGATATTTTATTTGTATAAGTAAGATTGAGGCATTAAGAATAATTAATATAATAGTTTTAATAATAATTCTGTTTCTTTTTTGGTTTAGAACTGTTTACTGGCTGTAGTAAACTTGTAAAGCATCTTTACACTCTGTTTTCACGTATTCTTAAAATATGTTGTGTTTGGTTTTCTTTCCAAATAGACACTTGATACACAGGGATGAATAAAACAATACATTAAGTAATAATTAATAATTTTTGCCACATTATAGATTTAATGACACTCACAAACTTTATTTAATTTCAAGACTTATAGGCCTAATGGCTACTGCTTTATCATGGATTCATAAAGAAATTTGTACACCTAAATTTCTTTTATGAAAAATCAGCAAATGTTAATAAAAAGAATGAAAGGCCCAATGATATTACTGATCCAGGGGCCTGGACTGGCTCTGTTCAAGGTATCAAATAAAGTTCCCAAAATAGAAGCAAGTTCAACAATAATAAAAACAAACTATTTATTTCCAACTTCTCAATGTCATAAATCAAAATTTTTGTTATTTTTACTAATTTAATATTCATCTCAAATAGTAATAGAAATAGATTTGGATATGCTATAAACATGGTGTTATAATAATTGTAATAATAACCGGAGTGAATTTTTCTCATCCGTATGGTTACATTTAATGTGCAGGATATTTTTTACTTTTCAATTGTTTCTAAAGATATTCAGAATGAATAGTAAATTCAGGTGGATTTGGTGAAATGTTGTGCTTACTCTCACATCAGCTTTTATGTGTTGTTGAAAAACAAGTGTTAGCACAGAGATATTTCATCTGAATTACTGCATGTTAAAAGTTTATCATATCGGTACCTTAATTGATCCTAAGTTTTCAATGATCTGCATAAGTCAGAAACTGTATACTTTGATCTTGTCATATCTTCTAGGATTTAACTATTTTATGTAAAAACGAAAAATCTTTGCAAATGTCGCCAAACACGGGAATGCGATTAGTGAAGCTTAAGTGTAGATATAGTTATTCATTAATAAATTCGATTTGATGTGTTATTATAGGTGATCTTTTAGGTCGAGTGATCCAACATCAGACCAGGATGACGGGAGTTGCTGCTAGTAAGCAGAGTGTAGCATGGGGACCAGGAGCTTTACATACTCTCTACTACTACATGCGTTGCTCCCAGTTGGAGCATGCTGATCCTACTTGTTCAAAAAATGCTGTTCAGGAACTTGTCTATGAAAGGTTTGTTCACAAATGGAATAAAAGATTTTTAGATCTTTATGGTAAAGCTTGTCTTTGGTTCTGTAAATTGAATAAAAGATTTTGAGATCTTTATGGTAAAGCTTGTCTTTGGTTCTGTAAATTGAA